TTTCTCCTTTGTTAGTGAATTATGCTCCATTGTCAGTAATGATATTGAGTAGAAAATTGTACTAGAAATTTATATTCATCCTAATTAAATTCTAGACTGCATCTACAGTGATTTGGGTGAGTGAATCCATTTTGAAAAATAATCTACCGTAACTAATAGGAAATTTTGTTGGCCTTTTGATGGCAGAAATGTCTCAAGAATATCTAGTCCCCATGTGGCAAACAGTCAAGGACTAGTGACCAATTGAAGCTTGAGACCAGGCTGATGATGTTGAAGGGCATACTTATGATATTATTTGCATTTTCTTGAAATTTCTCTGCATCCTTTATAAGCATGTATAATAAGAAATCTTTCTTTTAAACACAATACAATAGGGTCTTTTGCCTTGACATTTTCCCAAATACACATCCTAAACAACATCTTGGATTGTATCCTCTCTTAGGAATCTTGGATTGTATCCTCTCTTAGGGCATACTTCTGATATTATTTGCAGAAACGACTATCTGAACAATTTTCCTTCTATCATTAAATACATAGCAGGCTGACATGCTTAAAAATGTATTTTTTTATATACATTTTTTCTCTTTATTAATAATATTACACTTTCATGGAAGGTAGTTTATGTGTTTTTGGTTTCAAGTACAAGAGATGGAGTTTTGGTGAAACAGAAGAAAAAATGGAGCAAAATAAGGTCAAATGGAGCAAAGGAGCACAAAGTAAACTGACGGCTAGGTGCCAGCTTCTGGAGCCTAAGCGCCAGACCATGTACATGGAAACAGAGAGCATGGCGCCATGGCATCGGGAAGTTATTTCAGGCATCTAGAATACTGACACCTGTGCCATTATCAATTTTCTTAAAAAAATACAATGCATTTAGACAAATTTTGAATCAGCATCTAAAGTGACTCTTGGAGGATTTTGAAGGATAAACTAAGGGGACTTTTCAACATATTCCCCGAGGCCAAGAGGTCATAGATAAGAGTAGGAAATATAGATTTCTACCTTTTTTGGAGAGCTTGGAGAAGGTATTTTGAGAGATATTTGTAATGGATTTTATTAGCATTGCATGGATCAGTAGGAGACTTTGTTGGAGGGATTTTCATCTTTCTTTCAAAAAAAAAAGTTAAACATCGTGTTCTTCATTATCTTGTACTTATTGTAAGCACTTATTTAGTGAATATGCTTTGATTTAATGAAGTATTCTGTTGTGTGTGACACAAGCTTTGTGAAGTAGAATTCTTGTACTTTTCTTTTATAATGATTTGGATGAATGTTTAGAATGTTAGGATACATGTTAGAATAGATTTTTTATATCAAAGTGATGGTTCTTACTTCATTCTTTTATTACATATTCAATTTGACCAATTGGTAAGTTAAAATTTGTTGTACACCATAATGACCTGGGAGGGCTATGGCTTTAACAACTAGAAGGAACCACATTGAATTTATGGGTGAAAGAATAGTAGTCCAAAGATTCAATGAAATGTTAGGGAGATATTCATGGATGGGGGTGTGAATTTGTGTTTATAGAGTGACAGGCTAGATTCCTACCAATTTGATCTAGGGGTTCTTACCTTAAATCTAAGATTCAGCCAAATATAGGGCTATTAAGAGAAGGAGACTCTAGGATGACTGACTAGAATTTTTGGCGTGACAATCTAGTTACTTTAAGGAATCAACCATAGGTAAACTAACCTACATTATACACTCAAAATAGGGTAACTTGGATTTTTGCTCCTATTGACACTAGCTACATTAGATTCTATGCATCTCATTCCTACACATTTTCTAGGAAATCAAAATAAAAAGGTAGTTTTTACATCTCAAAATTTATCAAACCAATTTATCTAGTTAAGTTTATCTTTAGATTTAGGTTTTTATTTAAGGGCAGTTGTTATAAAAACATCCTTAATCCATATTCCAAACCAAGACCTAATAGTAGTAGGCTAGAACATAGCCAAAGGGATTTCTTACCTCACTTCTTTGTGTGATCGATACTCTGGGTTTAGAGAAAACCCTATATTGCTTGAATGATACGTGCACATGTGTTCATACTGGTGAGTAGTGATGAATTGTGAAAAATTAAGTATTCTTTAATATTATATTATTTAAACCATAAAACTCTAGGTACACCGTTAGAGTAAGTAGCCGTCAAGTTTCAGCATCGTTGCTGGGGAAGCTACGGTAAGAACATCAGGAGAATTTTAGTTGAACATGAAAGACTTACATTTGAAATTTATAATTTTATTATTTAGTGTGTTTAATTATTGTGGGTTTATTTAAAAAAAAATTAAAATAATAAAATATTTTTTAGTGTATAAAATATTGGATATCTTTCCTATTAGTTAATTCTTTAGAATTATATGCATAGTTAAGGAGCTACAGACCTTGAATTATTCGACTCATACCTAGAGATAACTTTTAGGAGGATTAAAAAAATACCAAGGCCCTTGGGATTCTTCAGGCTGACGATGTTTAACCAAGCACTTTATGGGAGGCAACCCATAGGTTATTTGTGTTAGTTTGTTTGTGAGTTGTATTTATTTAAGGTGTGATGTGTTTATTTTAGTGTGGATTCATCAATTGATTGATGTTAGTGGATGTTTTGATTGTTAGTGGATTGATTTTATCTTTTTATCTGTCATGAGTGAGGTGATTCCTTAACTTCTCATTGTGACTAGACTTATAATTATTCTCTGGTAGTAGTTGGATTAACAAGTACATTAAGATTCAGGTTTAAACCAGACTTGAGGATTAACTTGAGACATTATGTGTTTGGGCAAAGAACAAGTCCATCTAAATTCTTTTACTTCCTTTATCTGACCTTATTTTCCATAGTAAGGTTCCATAAACCGGTTAAAGAATAACTCAAGGATGATCTTAGACTACCCTTACAACTGTTAGAGGTGCATACTTAAAGGGATATGGTGATTCTTGAGGTTGGTGCTCGCAAGCCAATATATCAGGGATAATCGTATCCATAGGGTTAGACTGGATAAAAATATTTAAAAGTACCCAATTGATTAGTGAAGTGATTTTGTTAGAATTAGAAGTAAGGAATGGAGGTGTGATGAGTTGGAGGAAGAATTTATCTCATTTATATATTAATGTTTGTGCATGTGTTGCACCAATATAGAAGACTTGGGGAAAATTTAAATATATATATTCATATGCTGATACTTGTTATGCTAGTTAGACTATTCTTTAGTTTAATTTCATTTCAGTATGTTTTAGTTTAGATTTACTTTTTTCTACACATTTTTCTATCTTGATGAATACTTGTAGATGTTACTGATTGACATTTATGGTAGATAGAATTTCTGAGTTTTTTTTCTTCCTGCTTAGATTTTGTGTACTAAATGTTACACATGTTAAAATTTAAGTTTTGGGGAGGAAGAAAAACTCTTAAAAACTAAACTATATTTTTCCTCAATAGACTACATTTAAAAATTATTTTAAAATAATCTATGGTATGTGATGTTATCTTTAGAGAACTATATTTTTTATTCTATGAATGTTATAGTAGACTAAATTCAAAATTTTTTTGTTGATAAGGGGTAGTTCTAGAGTTATGATATTTAGTATAAGAGAATAGGGATATGCTGTAACTACTTAAAGTAGGAAAAATGGTATTTTTGTAATGCTAGAAATCTTATATTTACACTTTAAAGAAGAATTTATACTCTATGAAAAATCATTTTTATACTAATACACATTATTAAGTAAAGAAATGTGAGAAGATTTTAAGTTTAGGAGGAGGATAGTGAAGTTCAAAATTATTAAAGGTTATCCAGATATAATAATCCTCACATCAAAAAAGAATAAGGATTAAATAGAACCTGAAAGAAAAAGAAACAAAACATAAAATAGAAACAAAAAAAAGAAAAAAAAAAGGTAAAAAGAAAATATGTGGGGAGAAGCTTGAGGAGATGCCTAATTAAAAGTTGGTTTCACTTGAATCATCTTAATGGAAGATGACTAATTACACTTCTAAGTGTACTGTCAATTTTAAATGTATTGGTCAAATCTTTACTGATATAGTTCTCATATAATTCTACCTTTTAATTTCTCTAGAGATCCTAACTCTGACAAATTACAATTATTTTTTAAATAAATAAAAAATCAAAACTCCTTACTTGATTACTATATATTCTTATACCATAGTTCTAGCATGAGTTATTGAAATTTTTTCTAAAGTTACACTATCACATTTATAATAAAAACAATAGGAATCTTTAAAGAAACCCACTGTCATAAGTTAAAGCATTTGTTTTATAAAATAGGAGAGTTACTTGAGGATAAGTAACAGTAAAGTTTGGAAATTCTTAAATGTGTTTGAGCAATTGGAATATGTGCCAGGGAGGAGATAAGGATCCTTCAATCAGCTGGATAAGCAAGGAACAATCAATTTCAACCATTATATAAAACCATTTCATCTGAATATCAATATGTAGTGCCTACAAAAGAGCAGTTATTTCAGTTTTAAGTGCATCTTGGGCATTCATAGGGTTATAGAAAAACAATTTGCAGGTTCCTGTGCAGTCTCTGATGATCTCTCCAAAACCAGCACCTTGCCCATTATAACTCCCATCTATGTTAGCTTTGATCCAGGGGTGAGTATGTTTAATCCAGAAGACTTTGGATATCTTAACTATTTTTCGTGTAGAAGGACTGGTATTATAGAAAATTTCAGGGAATCTCTTGTGTTTGATCAGCTTTGTTAAGAAGGTTTTACAATGTAACACAGTTAGGTGTGCATTTGGAGGGCATTCCTCAAATTTGGCTTTATTTCTGGCCATCCAAATATACCAAGTTACCACAAAAGGGATGGTGCTCAAATTGACTTTGTCCCATGTATTCCAGCAATCAAAAAGGGAAGCCCAATCTAGATTCAAGAGATTTACCTTCAGATCTTGAACCAATTCTGACCAAACCCTTTGTGTAAACATACATTGAAAGAAGATATGGGTAATTGATTCTTCAGATTTGCAACACAGATGTCACTTGGAAAGTCCTCTCAATCCCTTAAGCTTGAGAATATCATCCACAGGGAGAAGCTTATGAAAGGTTCTCCAGATTAAAAAAGACGTAGAGGGGGTGAGATATTTGTTCCAAATAGTTTTACCCCATGGAACATCCTGCCAGCTGTACAATTTAGCATATATAGCTTTAGAGAGGCTGTGAAGCTTACTAGCATTAATCACTAAATTATCTTCATGTTCTCTATTGAAAGAGATTTTATAATACAGGCAGTAGCTGTTTCATCAAGCATAGACAGTAGTTTTTCCAAAGACCAGGAGTCTCCATTCCAACAATCAGCCACCAACAGATTAGGGTCAAAGTTTGTTGGTCTGGGTGTGAGAAGATCTTGGGGGCACCACTGATCAATAAAGAAATGAATTTTACCTTAACCAAGGTCCCACAGGAATAGGTTTTTTACCTAATGTCTGATTTGAAGTAATTTGAGCCATATGGGAGAGTCCCCCAACTTTCTTTCTGCCAAAGTAGGGTGGGAGTGCTTATCGTATTTCCTCATCATGAATTTTGTCCATAGGGAGTTCTGCATTCTAAATTTCAGCCAGAGTTTGCACATACTAATTTGTTGAAGGTGTTGCAAGCCTTTGAAACCCAATCCTTCAGCAATAGTAGGTTTAGTAACCTTTTGCCAGCTAGCCCAGTGTAATTGATTCCTTTGTCCAGCTCAGAGGAATCTCTTAAAACTTCTCTCAATTAATAGTTGGGTAGACTTCTTCATGTTTGTAACTTGGAGGATGTAGGAAGGTAAAGATGTGAGAATGCTTTTTCATAGTGTAATTCTCCCACCATTAGAGAGAAATGAACTTGTCCAGCAGTTGAGTTGAGCGTTGATTTTAGTAACTACAGCATCAAATTGTATCCTTTTGGTTCTTCCTTTGATAAGTGGCACCCCAAGATAATGAAGAGGGAAAGTAGCAGCAGAAAACCCAGTAAAGTTGCCAATCCATTGTTTAGCTACAGGATTAGTAAGTTTCTTATAAAGGATATGACATTTAGAAGTTTTGAAGGTCATACCAGAGATATCTTGGAATTGCTTCAAACATTTGTGTATCAGCTTAATAGCATTTTTGTTAGCTTTGGAGAATACAATGATGTCATCTGCATACATCAGGTGTGTGACCTCCATATTAGATGTATGGTGGAATTTGGCATAGGATTTATGTGTGATAGAGAATGATCCAAAATTTTAGAAAAATAGTCCATGGCTAGGATGAAATTAGATGGGGAGAGTGGATCTCCTTGTTGAACCCCTCTAGTAGCTAAGAAGAAACCATGGGAAGCTCCATTAAGCAAGATGGAGTGTGAATTCAATTACAACCATCTAGAAATGAGAGTGCAGAACTCTGTAGAGAAACCCCTGGCTTTGAGACTTTCAAGAATCAAAGACTATTGAATAGTATCATAAGCTTTACTTAGATCCAGTTTGTAAATGAGATTGCCTCCTCGACAATGATGGTCTATATCCAATAGTAACTCCTGTGCTAGTAATACATTGTCAGAGATTGATCTACCCTTGATAAATGTTGTCTGATTGTATTTTATTAGTTGGTTTAAATGGGGTTGTAACCTGGCCACAACAATTTTGCTAATGAGTTTGTTGAAAACTGAAGTCAGACTTATAGGTCTGTATTGATTCCAGTTATAGCTTACAGCAGCTTTAGAGATGAGGACATAGCTAGAGGAAGCAAAGTAGTTGGGGAGGGGGTTTCCATTGAAGAAGCTTTGGCTAGCATTAACCACATCTTCCTTGATAATGGGCCAAGTTTTTTTGTAGAAAACAGCTGTATATTCATCAAGACGAGCTACTTTAGAATTATCAATAATGTTGAGGGCCTCCCAGATTTCAGATTCAGTTGGAATGGAGGTTAGTTGAAGTTTCTGAGTATAAACCAGTTCTTCCTGAAAGAATTGAGGATCCACTGGTGTAGAGGTGAAATGAGGTGCAGTGAGGAGATTCTAAGAGAATTCTACAGCATTCCTGGCAATACCCTCATAATTGTTGATCCAACTTTCTTGAGCATCTTGAATCCTATGAATATTATTACATTTTATTTTGTACTTGATACAAGCATGATAGTATTTTGTATTCTTGTCCCCTCCCATGAATCTATTGATGGCAACCTTCTGTTTAAGAAAAAATTCCAATCTTTCTGTAGCCAGAAGAATCTTTTCAGCATTTGCCAGCAGTGCAGCTTCACTAACATTTCCAATCCCAATTTCAGCTTCCAGGGTTGCCAGATTTTTCTGGCATTTGCCAGCAGTGCAGCTTCACTGAAACTTCCAGTCCCAATTTCAGCTTCCAGGGTTGCCAAATTTTTCTCAGCATTCTCCACTTCTTCATACACATTCCCAAAGCAGTACCAATTCCATTGCTTGAGATAATGAGCCACCTTTTTCTGCAATTTCCACAATCTGATTAGGGGGTTGGATTGCTGTGAAGTATTCCAATGCTCTTTACTCATGTTAAGAAACTGAGGATGATCAGTCCACATGTTTTGAAATCTAAAGGAGTTAGGACTTTTAGGTGGGGTGGCAGTGATAGAAACAAGCAATGGTCTACGGTTTGACCCTACTAAGGATAAGTGATGTAAAAAGGTATTTAAGAATTCCTGGAACCATAGATCATTGGCCAGAAATCTATCCAACCTTTCTTAGATATGCCCTCTCTTCCAAGTAAAGCAGCCTCCTTGGAATCCAAGATCAAAAAGGTTAGCATCTTTGATGTTGTCACTAAATTGTGTCATCTTGAGGAGGTTAGGATATCTACCCCCTCTTTTTTCAGAACTTTCAACCACACAATTGAAATATCCTCCCACTAACCAAGGGGAGGTTATATTGTTTCCAATGTAGATAAGCTCTTGCCAAAGGGCTGTTCTATCATTTTTGTTACAACCAACATAGATAACAGTGACGAGTTCTGATTTACCAGCAACATCAAACTTGAAATGCACAAACTGTGGATGATCCAACAGGATTGACCAAGTTATTTCTATTCTGAAAAGGATCTAGATTTTATTAGTACAGTTATAGTGATGGGAAAAGCCATGGAATTGGTTTAGGATTTTTTGAGGATATTTATGAACCATAGGTTCTAGAATAGCAATGCACCATAATTTGTGTTTTCTATTGAGATGAAGGAGTCTTTTTAGAGAGAGTGGGTGAGCCACTCCCCTAATGTTCCAACAAAGCAAATTAATCATGACAAGATAGTTTGGATCTCCCCCTTGTAAGTCTTGTGAGGGAATCTCTTTTTGAAAAGTAAGAGCTTCCAGCTTCTATAACAATAGTTCCTCCTTGTGGATCAATATTAGCTTGTTTCTCCTTTTTCCTGGCTTTCTGCAGTTGTCATCCCTCTTCCAAATCTCTGTGAAGGGCAGCAATACAAGATGCATTATCATTGCAAATTTCATCTACCACATTGAGAGGAGCAGGACCATTACTACAATGGTCCAGTTATTCACTACTATGCAATAATTCATTGTTAATGATAGGATTTATAACTGCTACAGAAGATACTGAAGGCTTGGAGGGGTTTGACCTTATTAGTTTCTCCAACTGTTCTACTACATTTTCCACAAGGGTAATGTTTTCAGAGGGAGGAAGAATCTGAATTGGAGTGGAAGGATCCTCAGGAAGACTGGGAGTTGTATCTTCTGGTACTGTGGCTGTCAGCTGGTCTGTGGGAGTAACCTGCTCCAGTTCAACTTCAAAAGTTGGAAGGGGGTTTTCATAAATGGGTACTTCCATCACACCTTAAGGTGCATTATCAATATCTTTAAATATATTTTGGTCATCAGTAGACCTTCCAATGACAGGTTGCTCTTGTGCAATAGCTGGAATTGAAGAAGGTCCTTGAGTTTTAGGATTAGTTCTGATCTTTGGATGGAGTCTGAAGCATCTAGTGTTGGAGTGCCCAAACATTTTGCAGTGTGTGCAGTAATATGGTTTTTGCTCCATTACAATCTTTTGCCAGTAACCATTGTGAGCTATTCCCAACCATATTTCATTCACTTCTGGAAGGGTTATGTCCCTTTCAACTAGGATTCTGGCAGCAGAGGGTCTTGAGAGATTATAAGTTGGCACATCAAGTTTCATTGGTCTGCCCAGAGCTGTTCCTATTGTAAATAACACTTGATGGTGAAAGAAGTGTAGTTTTAGCCCTGGGAGTTTGAACCAAATAGGAACTATGGGGGGTTCCTGACTGGGATCAAATTCAGGTGACCATTTTAATAGCTTCATTGTTCATTCCTTCATTGTACAAAATCTACTTGGCAAACAGTCTGGTGTAGTCTTCCTCTCTGGATAGGTGAATGGACATATGACTTCCATCAATTAAACCAACTTTTCAATCACTCAAGAGTTTCAAATCTTTAAAGTACTTTCTAATGGCCTCCATCTTTGGATGGCCATATTGGAATATTCCAACTAGTGTAAACTTAAAAGAGGATGAGAGTGAATGTATTTCAGCTTCAGAGAAGAAAACTGTTGGTTTCTCTGACTTATTGCCTAGTTGTTTAACAAAAGGCAGCTCACCATTACCTACCCCCTCATGGAAGGCAGTAGGGATTACTTCCACTGAGCTTTGGAAGTTACAGCTTTTACCAACCACATCAGCAAATGTGGCTTTGGTCCATTATAAATTGGTATCCACGTCAATAGGAGTATCCATATGAAAAATTCAAATCCTCCACTAGAAAAACAATGGAGGGTAAGAAACAGCAAGTGAAAACCACATAATGTATCATAGGAATCCCAAGGTAAATGATAAGTCCCACAAAGAATCCACCAAAAGTCACCCAAATAGACAAAAGAAATGAAACAGTAACCTCCAAATTCAAAAACCAGTGAACCCGGGAAGCAATAAAAGCTACTAGAGAGTAGCCAAGAGAAGCAACAAGGTTCAAAAAACTTCTTTCACCCAAATCCAAATAGCCAGATGAGGAAGTTTTCAAAGAGTAGCCACCAGCCACCCTCATTTTTGTAGAAACCCTAGTAGACCATCTTACATATATATATATATATATTATGCTCATTTTTAATGATATTGGAGTAATATTCTTCAGCTAGGGATCATGCCACATATGTCATATTTTTGTTTTTCAAGTACAAGTGATCAAGTTTTGGAGAAAAAAGAGCAAAAATGGAGCATAAATGGAGCAAAACGGGGCCAAATGGATCAAAGGAGCACAAAGTGAATTGGCACTTAAGCGCTAAACCCTGTACATATAAATAGAGAGCTTGATGTCATGGGGCCAGGTTTCGGTGCCTAAGCGCCAGACAATTATTTCAGGCTTCTAGAAGACTGGTGTCTAGGTGCCAGAATCAGTTTTGCTTTTAAATACAGTGTATTTGGATGAATTTTGAAGAGGCATCTCAAGTGACACTTGAGGGATCCTGAAGAATATATTAAGGGAAATTTTTGGCATATTCCCCCATAGAATTTTCTAAGAAGGCTGAGAGGTCATAGATAGGAGTAGAAAATGTAGATTTCTACCTTTTCTTAAGAGATTGGAGAGGGGATTTTGAGATATTTCTGTAGGCAATTATATCAGCATTGCAAGGGATTGTATTAGCATTACATGGATTTGCAGGAGACCTTATTGGAGGGATTTTCATCTTTCTTTCATAGGAAAAAGCTAACTACAATGTTCTTCATTATCTTTTATGTGTTTTAAATACTTATTTAGTGTATTTGCTTTGATTTAATGGAGTTTTCTATTGTGTGTGACACATGCTTTGTGAAGTAGAAATCCTGTACTTTTCTTTTGAAAAAATTTAGATGAATGTTTAGGATGTTAGGATGCAAGTTAGAATAGTTTTCCATATCAAATTGATGGTTCTTTCTTCATGCTTGATTTACATATTCAATTTGGCCAATTGATATGTTAAAATTTCTTGTAAACCATAATCACTTGAGAAGGGTTATGGCTTTAACAACTAGGAGGAACCACATTAGGGAGATATTCATGTATTGATTTTAAATCGGTGTTTCAATGGTGACAATCAAGATTCTTACTAATTTGATCTAGGTCTTCGTACCTTAAATCTAAAATTGAGTAAATTAAAAGGTTATTAGGAGAAGGAGACTCTAGGGTGACAGACTGGAAATATCGCCATGAAAATCTAGTTATTTTAAGGAATTGACCCTGGGTTAACTAAGCTGCATTATACACTCGAAAGAGGGTAACTTAGATTTTTTTTTCTTTTATTGTCGCTGGCTACAGTAGATCCTATGCATCCCATTCCAATACATTTTCTAGGACATCACAAGAGAAAGGTAGTTTTTACATCTCAAAATTTACCAAACAAATTTATCCAGTTAGGTTTATATTTACATTTAGGTTTACATTTAGGGGCATTTGTTAGAAAAACATCTTTAATCTACATTCTGAACTAAGACTTGATAGTAGTGGACTAGAACTTAGCCTAAGGGTTTTCTTACCTCGCTTCTCTGTGGAATCGATACTCTGGGTTTATGTATTACTTGAACGATGCGTGCACTTGCATTTATACCTGGTGAGTAGTGATGAATCATAGAAAATTAAGTTATTAAAGTTATAAAATATCTTTTTAAAATTATAATATTTAAACCATAAATTACTAGGTATACTGTTAGAGTAAGTAGCGGTCGCATGCTTTATCTTAAAATCACTCAAATCGGTGACATTTTCTAATAGTATTCCTTTTTCAAGATACAGAATTTAAGAATCCATACAAATTTTATTGCTTTATATGGTCAATTCCATCGTCTGTGTTTCTTTGATTGCCAGTTTGATAGGTCATTGTGGCACCCCTCCTAAGCTAATTCACTTGGATAAAATGTATGCCACTTGATTTTTTTCCCGACTAACATTCTCAATTAAGATTCATACTCTCTATTTACTTGGTTTTTTCCCGACTAACATTCTTAATTAAATTTTTATTGCTTCTCTCTAGATTCATACTCTCTATTTACTTGATTCACGACCAATAATGAGTCTGATTTCACAAAAAGATTTTGAGCACCTATTTCATATGCTAGATGCATTATTATGATCAAAGCTTCATACTTTGCTTGATTCTTAATAACTTTAAACTCTAGTACAATTGAACAATACAATTACTCTCTGATAGGATTGTTAAAAGCCAATTTGAGTTCTTCATTAGATATTTTAGAAGCGCCATCAATGTGTAAAGTACATACTTGGTTGTTATTTATGTTTTTGTCATTTAATTTAATAGTTTCAAAGAAATCCACCATGAAATATTTGACTTCTTGTGCTTTAATTTTTTGTTTGAGATACGTAAGAGAAATCAAACTCATTCAGTTCTATAGCTCATTTCAAGAGCCGACCAAAATGTTCTGGTCGAATAAGGACAGACTTCAAGGGACAGTTTGTGATGACTCTTATTGGGTACATTTGGAAACAAAGTTGAATTCTGTGAGCTGAAACAACTCAAGGAAAAGTAAGTTTTACCATTACAAGATACTTTGGTTTAGTTCCTCTGAGGA